TTAGCAGAAACCTTTTGGAGAAATCTGATGTAATATTTATGTATATTTTTAATTTTAGAAAGATGATTTGATGCATGTGCTATAAATTATATAACATTTCCTACTAGATCTGGGGCAAAACTTCATCATCAAATACATTCACAACTTGCTATTGCACAAACATGAAATTTTGTTATCATGCATAAAGACATTCTGACCAGATATTTTTAGGCAAAGGCGATCAAACTTTCAGTTATCACAGGTTTTTGGATTTCCTAATTATAGACAAATCACTAGGACCTAAAAAGAGCATGTCAGTTTTGAGTACTGAGATACAGTACTCATTTAGTTCTGGTTGGTGACCACTGATCAGGCCAGGAGATGATGACATAGAGACAAAGAACAGAAAGGAAGTCAGGAGATGATGGGATAGAGACAAAGAACAGAAAGAAAATAAGGGGAGGAGACAGGAAGTCACTGGGAAGGAAGCTCACAGCAGGAAGTGATTAGAAGTGAGGCATACTGGAATAAAGGGGCAGGTTGAGGGACTGGATATAGCCAAGGTGGAAATGCAAGGCAGATGTGGGTAGCCAGGATAGAGCAGATGTGGGAATTAGAGAGGATGGGATGTAGCAAGGTCAAGGGGAGAGTCAGAGATTAGAGCAAGAGGGTTGGAACAGACAAGAAAAGAGAGGAAGATTTCAGTATGGAGGAAACCAGGAAGAGAGATGAGAGTGAGTGGATGAGATGTGGGAAGAGAGGCCCGGAGCATGTCCAAGACAAATGCACACAACAGCGAGAAGAGGAGAAAAACACAAGAAATGAACATATGGAAAAAAGTGACAGCTTCATAAAATACCAAAGAGGTTTTTGTGGCCTCTAGTCATCCCTCTGAGCTGAGGAACACCAGAATTTATTCCTTCTGTGTTTTGGTCCCTATTAACCAACTTTCCATGATCCCTCTTTCGCCCATCCTTCTCTTCACCCTTCCCAGCCTCTAGTAATCACTACTTTACATTTGGATAGACTTTTTGTTTTTTTGCTTTCACTGTGAGAATATTAAGCATTTGTCTTTCTGTGCAAGAAGGAGAAATTTGAAGGCTATAAACAAAGATATGATAAGGAGAGGGAAATGCTAACTACCCAGGGTGGATCAGTGCCTGCTGTATGCATGGGTTGAGCTATCATACTGTATCCCTTTAATATGTACCATTAATGCATGCTAATAAACATGTAAAGGAATAGACTAGAAAAAAGGATTTTGAATGTTTTCACTATGAATGACAAATATTTGAGGAGCGAGATATGTTTACCCTGATTTGAACATTACACAATGTGTACATATATCAAAACACCCCCAAAATAGGCCTATTTTCTGGGCATCAATTAAAAAATAAAGTAAGAAAAAAAGCAAGAGAAAGGAGGGAGTGGGAGAGAAGGGGAAAAGGGTATGGAGAAGAACAGAAGTAAAGGGCTAAGTCAGAAGAACTGGGAAAGGAGGGGCAGGGTAAGAACGGAAGGCCAGAATTTATTTTTAACATTATATTTTTTTATATTGTATTTTATTTATTTTTATGTGGTGCTGAGAATCAAATCCAGTGCCTTACACATACTAGGCAACCACTCTGCCACTGAGCTATAACCCCAGTCCCAGGGCCAGAATTTTCTCAATCATGTTGAACATCTTTTAATGGCCCTTGATTTCACAATAAAGTTAACTTTTCAGTTACAATTCCTTTCTAATATTAAAGCTTAACACACAAGCACTAAGTCAGTTATTTTATTTTGGTTTTAGGGTGCTTTTCAGAGGCATTTAACAGTGCTGACCATCATAGCAAGCTTTAGTTTTTAAAATACATACTAAATCCTGGAAGGGTCCCTTCTCATCCTTGGAAGTATAGGGGTGAGAAACTGATGTAATGTGAATAAAACATGCAAGAGAGATTTGTTCCCCCCCCCAGGTAACTGTACCTCTAAAAGCACCATTATTTCTCATCTAAGATAAGCATGTTCATTCTTCATGAATAAATCATGTATTTACCAGATAAGTAAACCAGGACATTTGGGCTTCTTAAATAGGTATAAATTCCTTTAAAAAGTGCCTTAATAGTTTCATAGTTATGTAAAAGCATTCCTTCTTAATTGAATTCTGTTTAGGACACTATTTTCCAGGAATAAAATGTGTAACTTTTCAAACTGACTTATTGAAAAGGAACACCTTCAATTTTGTCTCTAACCTTTGAGTGGTAGACAATTTTGCCACTTCAATGAGAGGCCTTAAAACTTTTATTACACCTGGTCTTATTCACTCACAGTACAACCAGCAAGTGTGTAAACATCTACTGGGATATGTATTCAGCTAGTGCATTGAGTTCTCACAGGTAGGAAGCCTTGGTTTCTGGGTTTCCCAACTTTCTCTCTTACAGAGGGCTCCATTCGCCTTAAGCAGGTGAGTTTCTTTCTTATTAGCAGTACAGCTTTAGCCCTTTAGGATGATTGGCCTGAAGCAGAATTGATTTTTACACTCTCCGCAGCATGGATGTAATTGTGTGAAATGGAAATGCAGCTGGAAAGCCTTTTCTTAAGTCTTAGCGACCAAGATAACTGACATCGCTTGGAAAGGACCGTCCAAGGCATACCTTGAACTTGGCCGCTAGGGGGCAGTCGAACACTGCCCACTGCAGGATTCTAATCAGGCTCTGCTTTGCATGAAGGCATTTTTTGAAGGTTAGTAAATTATTTGAATAAGTTATCCAGTAGCATCCTTAATACTTGATACTTTAATTTCCTATACAAGCACTTGATTTTGGTTTGTAATATTGTCCCTAATTAGTTCATCAACAACATTTAAAAAAGGTGGCTTAAGAATGCACAATGAATAAATTAATGATAAAACACATATAAGAATATTATCTCTAGTTATCAGTTACTGTGAGTAGATACTCAGTTTTATTCATTTCTAGACACTCACTCCAGGGTGATCATGGCCTGAAAATAGAAGACAATCATCATATTTCTAACTTTTCATTTTGTTTAGACTGCTTTAAGAGTCTAGCACAAATGTTTATTTAAATTTTAAAGCAATCTTCACTCTGATATAATTTTTAATGACCCTTCTTTGATTATTATCAAGAACCTTACCACTATAGCCATCTACGATTACATTGTGAAAAAGAAAACAGTTTAATTATGTAGTAAATACTTATTTCCACAAGCAGAGAAAAGATATCACAGCATGGATCAATAATTATTTTGGAAATGAATTATTATTAATATAAAAGTTTAAATTAGTAATCAAAGATGATATAAAATTAGAAAATAAAAATTTCTAAAGAAATAGAATTAACCAATAAACCTTTATTAGTTGGTACTGTGGACCTGGTATTTGGCATTAGAAATTTCATTTACTTAGAAATAAAACAAAATGATTTGCTTAGAACTTTTTTTGTTTATTTAAAGAATGCCATCACATTATAGCAAATCAGAAACCACTACTTTAGAGATAGTTTTTTTTTTTGCCTTATAGGGTTTAAGCAAAATCAGATAGATATATTATCATGAGCAAAAGCAGAGTAGAGTGAAATTGGTTAACTGCAGTTACAGTTCTGTACACTAAGGGCATTTTTAAGGGCACTGGTGATCTCTATGATAGATCTTAAATCCAGAAACCAACTTTTAACTCTTCATTCTTAAAAATGCTGTAAAATTGAATATTACAAATATGGACAGGACATGAACTTCTGAGGTAAGATCTTAAATCAAAGAAATAGACTGCTTTCTACAACTGTATTTCAGGCAAGATGAGTTTATAGATTGTTTCTCCCTAGGTTTTCATGTAAGAGAGATTGAAACAGAATAAAAATTGTGCTTGGAGATAATATTTTGAAATAATTTGAAAGGATAATTTAGTAACACTTCAAATTCAAAATAAAATTTAAGTATTTTATAATCTTTTATTATATATTCTTAAATATTCCATTTTATGCTTGTACATCTTGCCTTTATGCTCATAAATATGTCACTTTATTTTATGATTTAAATGTCTATTTGGAATACGTCTAATAACATCAAGTATTTTAAAAACCAGAAAAGGATTTCTCAGAAAACAAAAATAATTTTAAATTCTAATGTTTATTCTCTGAGGCTTATCAAAAGTCTTGAAGAAACATTATGAATTGAAATAAGTGCATTTTTTAAATTATGTTAATGATAAGCCCAGTATACCATGATGTGATGAGTAGATTTTAAGTATATGAGCTCACAACAAAACCAGGTAAAGATTTAAGTTTAATTTTTTTTTGTCAGCTTTCCAAAAAATGTCACTGATTTAAAAATGAGCAGTTTGACTAAATTAAAATTGCATCAAATTAAAAATAAAGAATTATATAAATGGATGCACTTTTGTAGATTTGTTTTCTGTCATTTGGCTTTATTGTACAAAAAATCAGAATAACATCAAAATCAGTTACTTCTGTGAAGACACTTCACAATCTTAAGTCATTTTTGTAGATTTTTTTTTGATAACTTTGTTTTATAAAGGTTAATTTTTAGGGAGAGATACTGTGTTTTAGATTTGTATGACTTTACAGTTCCTAATTTGTATTAATAATAAAACAGTTACTAACAATTACATTTTTTTTGTTTACAGACATATTACAACAGGTTCAATTTTTACAAATAAATTTTTAGTTTATTAATTTATCCTACTTTACAAAAACAAATACTAAAAGTAGTTTCCCTGTTATAATTGATATAGTAAGCATTGTTTTTAAAAGTTATTTCATCTATGGCTTTAATAACACATAAAGGCAAGTTTCTATGAAAAATTTGTTGAATCCAGAAATTGCTAGGCTGTATGGGGCTACCAGCAGTTAGGGATAATGATAATGAAACGCAAAAGTGTTGTCTATTTTTCAAAGACTGCCATGAGTCTATTGTGAATACCATACATAGAACTAAATAGAATTTTTTATATTCTTTGGGAATTACTCTTACTTAAAGTGAGAAAGCAGCAGCCTTACCTTTGACATCTATCAGAACGATGAAAGGAAGTAGAAGGAACATTGCAATCAATCTGAGCCTGGAGAGATGTTTAATATCAGAAAAATAACAATAGGCTTACAGCGATTGAGTTATTAGACGTATCCTCCTTACACCTCAGAAGGAGTTCTGATATAGTAACTCCAGAGCCTCCCATGTGTCTGAGCATGCTCACAGCTTAAACTTCACTGGCACGAGGGGAGATGGACTCTTGTCACTATGCAGCCTCCCTTTTTTTTGGGTTCTTTCTTTTCGGTTTCCTTTTAATTTAAATATACAGTTGGGTTTCTGTTCATTTAATTCATTATGGTATATAAAATGAGATAGAAAATGACTTTAGTATTATGAATAACAAACACTTTTTAATCACTTAATTTTTTTTCCCCTTGAAACATGTGGAACAATTTGTGCTTAATTTATATCCAGACCTATGTAGAAATTCTTAAATATGAAGGGATATGAATTTATACTGAATAGGCTGTGAAACTCTGTCTGAGCATATTTTTCATGCAGTAGGCAAATGACAAGAAGCTATTTACTGACAAAGACACAAAGAACACCTACTTCTATTCAAACATACTTCAGTGTTGTGGAATAACATGCAGAAAGACAGTCATAATTAAAAGATATGGCCTTGTGTTCCATAGTTACTTACTGTAAAACGTTTACATATCCCTGTTTTAAAATGGATAACTTTATCCCTGCTCTCAATTCTGTGTTGCTTATCTATTAGAAGACATTAATTATGACTTAGTCCTTACATCCTGAAAGCAGCTTCGTGAGCAGCAGAGTTTGTGCAAGTAGAAAGCCTGGAGAGGGACTTCAGTTGTAGGGTTTGGTTGATCTTAGTGTAATCAGAGAGATGTCTCCAAAAGACATTGTGGAATTTCCTTATCTAGATATACATTTTACTAACTGGGACATATCTACATAGAAAACAATTTTAGAGTCCTGAATTGGACGGAGGATTTTGTAACTGAACAGTGCAGTTTTGATGTCATTATTCACTGTAATCTAACAACGTTATTTGAAAAACTATGTAGTGGTGGTTGTCCCCATCACAAGTCATGGGGTGGGGTTTTTCTTGTTCTGTCAGTCCATCCTTTGATAGAATAAGCATTCAAACAGAATTTGAAATAAAAAAGCATTTCGTTTATCCCTTGATGAAGTTAGCTCTTCTCTCTCTTAAGAACTGACTTAAATTCCCTGTGACACTTTCCAGATACATTTAGATGTGTTCTCATCAGCTTTTTCAAAACAAAAGAAAAGCAATGAAGAGTGTAAAATTGAAGATGAAAAGAAATACTTGAAGATCTTTTCTTACATTTCAAACTCCTCTTTCTTCTTCACTCACCTTGAGGTCTTTTAAAATCTCCTTACTTCACTTAAAAAAAAATCAGGGGCTAGGATTGTAGCTCAATAATAGAGCGCTTGCCTAGCATGTGTGAGGCACTGGGTTCGATCCTCAGTACCACATTAAAAAAAAACAAAAACCACTAAATAAACAAAATAAAGGTATTGTGTCTATCTACAACAAAAAATATTTTTGAAAAAATCAGGGCTTAATTAGGTTTTCTTACATTTTGTGTTCTGCCAAGTTGATGGATGCTAGTTTTTGGTAATGAAACTTTGAGCATGAATTTTAAAATGCATTTAAATATCACAAATTGTCCATCAAAAGTCTTCTTGAAGTTTAAATATATTTTCCATGAAAATAAGATTTTTAGAGAAAGAAAAAAATGTCAAGATTCAAAGGACTTAGTTTAGACTTCTTCGTTAAGCTTTCGCAGTAGATTTAAATTGCTAAGAGGTTGAATCATTATCTCTGGTAGGCTTTTCTAAGTTAATGTCTGAAATATCAACACAAAAAAGATTCAGAACTCAATAATTATAAATCATAGTCAAAGATATCTTCGGCTCGTGATTGGTTTTTAAAGGTAGAAAGTGCAAGCGTTGAAATGTCATTTCACTTAATATGTTTTAACTTTGATTTATCTCGTGTGGACATACAGCTTTTTGAACTGCAACTGGAATGGCTGAATGTACACAGGGCTATCATGTGTGTGTTTAAACAAGGGTAAATGAATTTATTCGCTCCTTAAGGACATAATTGGTAAGGAGGCTGCAGAGAGTGCTTTGTGCAGAGCTAAGGTGGAAGACTTATGCCAGCTGGTTCATTATTGGATGTGAACTTCAAATCCGTATAAGTGTGTTTTATTGATTCTTGCCTGCATCAGCTCCTTTCTTCATTCCAGTCTCCTGTCGGTAACATCCACACTTTTGGCAATAATACTATAAGAGCTCAAGTAAATACGTGATTTGCTATGCAGCACAATTCAGTGTAATTCTAAGGGATGTGTTTACTAAAATACTGACTACCTGGTTCTCTACATGGATGGGTGGAGGCAGGCAGTTTCTTAGAGTCTGCTGTACTTTTATGCATGACTTAGAAATTGTTAAAGTTCCTAAATCAAGAACCTAATTTATGGTCAGAAAACCCTGATTTTTAACACATTATCAGAATCGTGTGATTGTTTTTCATACAGGCCATAATTCACTCTCTTGACAAATTAATATTTTCAATCCGGACACTGTACTTCATGATAGTATATCCTTGTAAAAGACTCTCATTTCTACAGACTCTATTGTGTTTTATTCACAAAAACCTGTTCATTTAGCATTTTGGTACTGTTTTCTGTTTGCAGTGTTGGGGGGGGAAGGACTTAGGGATATTCCATGAATAAAAAAATTAAGGTATAGAATAATAAGTATCAGAATAAAGCTGGTCCCAGATCAACCATAATAATGCTCACTTGAGAAGTCTCTTGAGTATCAATCAAGTTAGAGTAAAACCTTAGCAATTCAGCCACACTAGCTAAGTATTTGTAACTATAAATGTTAGCCTTTCTGCATGACTTTGTAGCATTAACTCATCATTCAACAAGATTGATATTTTATGTAAACTTTTCAGCAGTGGTAGCAGATTTATTGGCACCCTCAGGCAGAGCAGCCCGAACTGAATCCCACAATTCTATCAGCATTCTGTGGCCATTAGCTGAGCAAACCAGTTCTGTTATAGGCAAGAAAGTCTAAGTGTTCTAACTCTGATGTTCTAAATTTAAAATAATTTAAGTCATGGTTCATTTATTGGAGAATTTTCACTCTTGGCAAGCTCAGCTATTAGGAGCACAGCCATCAACCCAGAGTAAAAAATATCACGAAGACATCCACTGCTGGCAATACGGTAGATTAGATACTCTGAGAGGTTTTCTCACTTGAATATAAGAGCTCTTGCAAAAAAAAAAATGCATTGCCTTCCTGGAGGCTTCAAAATGAGGAAAATCAAGTCCAAAGAGAAAACACAAGAAGAAATAAAAACCAAATGCTGAGAGTGAAGCACTCTCATCTAAATGTAAAAGACAAGTATGTCTTTAACAAACAGAGATACCAGCCTGGCAAGTTTAGGCCACCCCCTGAGTGAGTGACAAGTTCTAAGAACTGAACCAGAGACTCTGGAGAGGACCAAGTTGAGGACTCTGAAGGCTGGTGCCCCTAGCACCTTCCAAAGGATACACAAACTCTGGAGGAACACACCCTCCATTTAGACCCCAGAGTACTTAACATCAACCAATTATTAGCTCATTATCAAAGATCATACCCACGGGCAAGACTCAGTGAAACAAAAGTAATTGATTTAGAGCCCAATCACTTTTCAAATATTGGAATGCTCAGTTATGGATTGTAAAATGTCCAAAGGAAAAAAAAAAGCATAATTTCTTACAAAAACAGTAAGAAACAAGAAATCATCAAAAAGAAAGAAACTGTCTTTTCTAAAACCAAAGACAGTTTTAGAAAGTAACAATGTATTTCTGGAACTTAACAACTCAATGAATAGGTTAAACAACCATTAATACAAGAATTAAGAAAAGCAGATGGGAATGGAAAATATAAGAAAGTTAAAATATCCGAAGGAAAACATGAAAAGTTTCAACATACAGCTAATTCAAGTCCCCAACGCAAAGAATAATGAGCATGAAGAAGACAAATTATCTAAGGAGATAATGACGAGTAATTGTCTCGATTTCATAAAATGTAAGAATTTATTAATATAGGAAGAACAACTTCTACCAGGCAGGACAAATAAAAAGATCTGAGGATTCGGTTTTGAAATTGCATAACATCAAAGATACAGCGATAGCTTTAAAAATACCAGCTCCTGGAACAGAAAAATTAGAATGCTAGTCCATTAATCAACAACATCAATGGCAGCTGTAACAAAGAGAGCAGTAATCAGTGTTCTGAGAGAAAGTAACTGGCAACTCAAAAATGTGTACTTAGAACTATCTTTTAAAGGGACTGTAAAATAAAGTGAAGGAAAAGACATATTAAAGAGTTATACAGAGAGAATTAAAAAACCCCAAATAACCCAATCAATGAACGGGCAAAAGAACTAAACAGACATTTCTCAAAAGAAGAAACACAAATGGCCAGCAAATATATGAAAAAAAATGTTCAACATCCCTGGTAACTAGGAAAATGCAAATTAAAACCATATTGAGATTTCATCTTATTCCAGTTAGAATGGCAATTATCAAGAATATCAATAATAGGCTGAGTAATATTCCATTGTGTAAATATACCACGTTTATTCATATAGCTGTTGAAGGGCATCTAGACTGGTTCCAAAGCTTAGCTATTGTGAATTGAACTGCTATAAACAATGATGTGGCTGCATCACTACTATCATGTGTGTATATATATATATATATATTTCCTATTATAATAGGAAATGCTGGTGAGGGTGTGGGGAAAATGGTATATTCATACATGGTTGGTGGTCCTGCAAATTGGTACAATTACTTTGGAAAGCAGCATGGAGATTCCTCAAAAGAATAGGAATGACACCACCGTATGATCCAGCTATTAGTATTTGTCCAAAAGAACTCAAATCAGCATACTGTAGTGATACGTGCATACCAATGTTTATAGCAACACAGTTCACAATAGCCAAGCTATGAAACCCGCCCAGATGCCTGTCAACAAACAAATGGATAAAGAAAATGCGGTATATGCACACAATGAAATTTTACTCAGCCATAAAAAGGAATGAAACTATGGTATTTGCTAGTTAATGGATAGGACTGGAGAATAACATGATA